ATTCATTTAAATATAGATTAATATTTCTCATCTGTAAGGTCAAGTTACACGCCATGTTACTAATCATTCATGTCTCTCCCAGTGGGTAAACTATAAGTAAAATGTAATTTGAGTATTTCTGAAGGCTTCAAGTCTCCAAGGAAGAAACCTGGTATACATCCAGTTCCTGGCTAATGTGAGTTAAAAAGCACCACAATTTCCCAGTGATGGCCCCAATGATTTTTATGCATAAAAAATGAAAAATAAAAAGCCAAACTTCAACTACTGTCGGGGTGGTTAAGTTAACCTTAACATACAATTCAATCAATTATTCTTTAAAGCCAGTGTACAAATATGAAGCTAAAACTTGACTATATTACAAATGTATTCACACTGAATGACATTACAATATCACAGCGATAAAGTAACTAAATTATAACTATAATGATTGTTCTTTTTTTTGTTGCATGGCAACTAAGAGTACCCATGTCATTTTTTTGCTCAGCAAATGGTGTTATTTATGCATTTTTCTAATGATGGTTTCAGTTTCTCCATGTTGTTGCTGTTTTTTGTGAACACCCTGATGCTGTTGGTATAATAGCAGGTTATAAATGCAATTCAATCTTCATTTGGTAGGCAGTTTATTTGAATAGGTGGGGCATGGGCAAGAATAATCCTAGCAGTTTAGTGAAATAAATAATAGTTTTGTATGCAACCATTTCATCCTCTGGAGTTTATATTTGTTTCTGTAAAATAATCCCTTCTATGTTATGATTTAGCCACTTTGTAGCTGTATACTTTGTGTCATTTTATACTGAAACAATTAAAATTCCTGTTTCTCTGACTGTAACTGGCTGGATGTGCTCTCCCTCTGACATGGGAGTTGGCTTGTTGCTCGTCTGCCTTTTAAAGCTGCTTTTTTCATCTCTGATTCTGTCTCCTTGAACCCCACTCGGCCTCTGCAGATGGTCGCTCACACTGAGCCTGGCTCTGCTGGAGGTTTCTTCCTGTTAAAGGGGAGTTTTCCGTCTCCACTGTCGCTACAAGCATGCTTAGTGTGAGGGATTGCATTCGAGTTAATGAGTCGATGTAATCAACTGGTTTTCCTTAGATAGAAAACTTTGAATCAATTTGACTGTATGATCTCTGGAACAGTAAAGTGCCGTGAGATGACATGTGTTGTGAAATGGTGCTATATAAATAAACTGAGTTTAAAATATGCTTGGTGAGGTTACATATTATAGAACAATTAATGAAGGAATGGCATTTTCAAACAGCCAACTTTGCACACATCTGCTGGATAAATCCAAACCTCTCTTCTAAACTCAAAGCCTCTGTTAACAATTAATTTCAACTTCCCTTAAAATGTTTCCATTTTATTCCAAGCATTGGATGTTGTGCTACTAAGGCTGATTAAGTTAATCTCTACATATATCTTGCTTGTCAGAACTCAAAATAACAACAACAGCAGATATACTCTTATCTTTGACAAAACAACAAGTACATCAAAAATGTGAGTGGGGTATAGTCATGGTTTACACAACATCAAACTATTATGATACCATTCTTGGAGTAAAACTGAAAAACAAAATAGAGGCATTTTACTGTCGTGTTTTCTGACTCCTTGTTTCAATTCTTCACCACACATAAAAACTCTTGAAGACTATTACGATCTAGACCTGCATCATCATTACTTGTCTTCAAAAGACTCAAATCTCTTCGACTGTCCAACAGACTTCCTCTAGGCAGAACTTAACCATTGTTGATGAAAATATTTTTTTGTCATGTTGCTCAACAGTTTCTCCACTCCAGCACACCATTTTATTCTTCAGGATCTGGATTTATAAGGTGTCTTTTAAAGTATGTTTTATTTCTTTCTTTCTTTTTTTTTTATTTTGGTTACCACAAAAAAAAAACTGTGTTGTTTTTCAGATCAACACTGTTAGGAAGGTTAGTAAGGAAACATAATCTGTAGTATTTGATTGCTAGGTAATCTAATAGTGAGGTATCTTCATATAGATAATGAATTTTAAGTAGGCAAAAATAGAAATGATATCCAATGTCGACTTTTTTCAGCCTTACACCCAAGGCCCAGTGGACAATTCCAAAGAAATTTCTGCTAAACTCTGATTCCGTGCTACCGATTCAGTATGAGATATATTTTTGTGTTAAATAAATGCAACACTGACATTTAATAATATATGCATTCACATACATAAATGAAATATTCCATTACATTTTGTAAGCACTGCAGTGAGAAATAAAATTGCCTTACAAAAATGTATTGATTTTTATTTCCACATTTTGAGACATTACAACCACAAATATCAGTGTATCATATTGACTTTTCTGTAACAGGCCAGAAGAAAATTGAAACAAAGTTATTTAAATATTTTTCTTTTAAATCCCACCTAAAAGGCAGAGTGTGCATTTGTAGTCTACACCCCTCATTCAGGTTTGTAGAATCAGTTTTCACTGCAATGATATTATCCAAGGAGATGTCTTCATCAGCTTTTGTTTTCTAAAGACTGAAATATTTAAATACCTTGACTTGTCTATTGCTTTCATCTTAAATCCTCTACTTGTTTAATATAAATATATATATATATATATATATATATATATATATATATATATATATATATATATATATATATATATATATATATATATAAACCCAGGGGAAAAAACTCTAAAGCATTGTCTATAAAAGACATTTTACTTTCTGACTTATGATGAATAAAATACCTCTAAGAAATGTCTGTTTTTAGGGAGAAAGGACTAGCACAAAGATTTGATATTGTATTTTGTTTAGAAGCATGTTCAGCAAACATTGAACCTGAAAGAGCCTGTTACAGTAAATTAAACACGAATCTCGCCTCATTACTTTTCATGTTGTTCCCTTTTACCAACTTTGTTGAACATAACACACTCTATCAAACATGCTTTCAGAAGCCATTAGGACACTAGAGGCAGAGCAGCCAGGATCTCTCCCACTGCAACGCTCTCCTTGTTTATGATCTGTGCACCCCTTATCTTTCTGCTCGTGTCTTTCATCTTTTCCTTCCTCTCTTATACCAATCTGTACCATCTTTTGTCTCTACAATTATCCATGCTCCCTCCTCCCCTCCTCGTGTATCCCTAATGCTACCTATAACACCCAGTTGTACCCTTCTTTCCTTCTATCCTTTCCCCATTTCTTGTTTTGTATGCAAACGCTAAGGGAGAAAAAATGGGCGAAAAACACTTTCTCTGCACCACTGTCACAAAAGACCGGTGAGTCATCTCCACTTATGTTCCTTGACTCCCTCCTCCCACAAAAAGAGCACGAGTACACACACACTCACACATCACATGCACACACTCGTATAAAACAACACTCACATTACCTGCTGCGGATTTACAGGAAGACATGTCTAGATGCACAAATGTTTGTGAGCTACAGATACAGATTTGAACAAAAATATTCCACAGTTTCTGAAACAAACCCTTTATTTAAAATCAGATTTATTCATGTTAACATTGCCCAATATTTGCTTCTTAAAATGCCATACATTATTATGTGAATCCATTGCATACAGAGTGATAATGATGATTTTAAGAATGACTACACAAACTGACAAGACTGTTAAAAATTAACAGTATTTGTGTAATTGTGATCTTTTTTGGGGGGGGGTTAGAAAAACAAAGAAATGAGATGGCATAAAACAGTAAAACAAACGCACCCCAGGAGATATTAATCTTTTTTGTTCATGTTGATATGCTTATTTAAATAGGAAATACTCTTTCTCCATCTGCTGGTGGAATGGGTCTCTACAGTCATATGTGTGCTATTAAAATGGCAGTGGTAATACCGAAGAATATCTGGAACAATGGAAGAAGGTATCACTACTGTTTATTTTCTAACAATCCAAATAAAGTACTGTAAGAACATTTTAAAATAACTACTTTATGTTTATTTTCTTTCCACATCCTGTTGCTTTTAAAATACCTTAATATCAATACTTACTGCATCAGTGTTGGCATGGAGTCAATTAGCTTGTTGAGGTGTCATGGAAATCTAGGATCCTTTAACAGTAGCCTTCAGGTCATATGCATTTTGGGTCTGGTATCTTTTATCTTCCTCTTAACAATATTGCATTGATTCTCTATAGGGTTTGGTCAGGTGAGTTTGATGGCACAGACACAGTGACACCATGCTCATTGAACTAGCTTTTGATACATTTTGCACTATGCACATGGGGAAGGGAGCAGGAAGAGCTCAAAACTTTTTCTGAACTTTGAAGTTCAGGAAGAACAGTGGATTGACATCAGATAACATGGCCACACAAATCAGCACACAAAACTTGAACCGATGTGGATTTTGTGCCTCTCCACTTTTCTAATTTCTCCTTGCTGCATAAAAATACCAAAATCAGATGTTTGATTAGTCCAATAGTTCCAGCATAACTTTATGCTACTGATGAACTAATTATTTGAAGGTTTTTGCTGTTACACATTTTTAACAGGTCTGCCAAGAAATCAGTCTACATAATTTTCCAGGGAACTATACCTTCTGCCTACAAATGTGCATGCCCTTTTCACAACCCTATCCTAAACTTCATATTGTCTCATAATTATTTGACGACCAGCATTGAGAGCATGTTTGGAGCAGTTACATAAAAGATGTGAAAACATCTTAACAGGCCCTACAATGCATATTTCCAAATGAGCCCACGGAGATATATTATCATTTCTTTATTTTGTATTTTTATTTTATGGTCAAAGTCACACAAAGAATCTTCATTTGAAATACGAATAATAATGTAGTAAAAACATGGGGTCAATCATTTACTGCCACTTTATATAGAGCATATCCTTGCATATCTCATAAAAGCATTTAGAAAGTTGTTGGCTTCTTCTGATCTTGCTAATGTGAGCCAAACTCCACCGCACAGATACCGGAGCCCCCATCTGATTACTTTTTACAGAGACCTGCTTGTGAGCTATTCAGACACATTAAATATTTAGAGCCTGGAGCTTCCGTTTCAGACACAGAGCGTGAGGAAAGAGAGCATAGAAGCTGGCAGAAACAAGGGACAAGAGAAAGAAAAAGCCAAAGAAGTGCAGGATTAGTAGGAGACGGTACATCAGGCACCCTGGGAGGAAGCCACATAAAGAAGGATGGAGGAAGAAAGGTAAGGCAAGAGATGATTGAATGTTTAAGACTAATCAAGCAGCGGCTTTCAGAGTAACAGTAGAGGCTGAGCTGGTTTAAGCTGCAGATAATTGAGCAGCTGATAACCCTCTTGTTGAACAGTTAGGGGGGCAGGATTTTCAACTCTGCTTCTTTTCTTTGAAATAAGCAGTGGGAAAACATCTGTCCAGACAGAAATAATGACTGAAAACCTCATTGAGGAAAATACTGAGTCTAGACCTATCCACACACCAGATGAAAACAACAAGATTGACAGTGGAGACCCTGATGAGGAGGTAAAACCAAGATGAGCCCCTCAAATGAAAAAAAAAAAAACATTATTTGCCACTATCAGATCTTTTGTTTTTGCTGTGTTGCCTGTTTTGTGTGGTTGGTGGTCATAGATTTCAGAGGATCAATGCAGAAGAAGTTCGGAGACACTGGCACAGGAAGCTATGATAACTGCAGATACACAAGCCGATGAGGACTACCTCCCAGAGACCCACCTGTCAAAGGTGGATGACGTGAACCCCCCATCAGTGTCACCTGATCCCCCCACCACAAAGGGTAGGTTACACATGCACACCAACTAGTATTTTTTTTTTCACACTCCTGTGGGGACATTCTATTTAGAAGTGCTCAAAGCATAAAACTTTTCTTCTCAGCTTTTTGGAAAATAATTTATAACCAGAACCACAGAATCATTCCAGCATTAACAAATTAAGACTCAAACTAAACTGATGTACATGTAAACAACACGTGTATCAGTTCATTTGTTCCTTGCAAATGAACTGATACCCCTGGGGGAGTTTTATTTTATATTGAAAGTAAAACCAAACCTTTCAATGTACTTTGTTGCTTTCTGATGCTCTCGTTGCCATCCTGTAAGATTTGGGAGATGTGGAGTGCTTGTAATTCGTTTTATAGCTTGCACCTGCAACTTTCTCTTTGACCTACACGTTAGTGAGCATCAGACTTAATGAAACTCACTAACGTGTTTACTTATATTCTCCATTAAACTGCTGAAGCCTTCACAGAGTGGCTGGATTAACACTGAGACTAAATGGCAACCAGGTAGAATCCATTTAGTTACCAAGTCCAGAAGACAGTTAGTTGCACTGGATTTAAGATATCAGAGCACCTTAGATTTTTAAATGCATTGTACATTTTTCTAATTTTCAAAATAATAATCGTTTTACTGTATGGCTACCCTATATCTAATAAAAATTGAACAAATACATAAAACTGTTTAGTTTGATTGAGAAAATGTGAAAACAAATTTAGTTTGGCATGTTATGGGTGTATACATGAAATGGAAATGGATAAGACATGCAAAACAAGTACTGTTTGCCTGATTTAAAAAAGCAAATTGCGTTTTTTTCCTGGAAGTGTGGGAGTGGCTGTAAAAGAGCAATGAACTTCAAAGCCATGGAGCTTGAAGAAATTATACGATAATAATGTTTAGGGTGCACTTTGCAAATGAGTATCTAGAAGTGCTACAAAGCTATGGTCAAAATTTAAAAGATGAAAAATGACAGATTTAAGAGCTTAAATATCAGCCATAAAACCTGAAAAAGCTGTCAGCTCTCCTGTTATCCCCTCTAAGTGAGTCTAGTTCTAGAAGGAGCTACTTTCAGATTTATATTGAAACTATGCTCTAAACAGTTGATTTCACATCCGCAGGCTTCTAATGACACCCCCACGACCCAAATAATTACAAACCAAAGTAGGCACATAGCAGTTTAGTGCTACACACCTGTGCTCCATATGCAGGCTGTAAAGGAATGTTGAAGGAGAGAAGATTCATCTTCCCGCAACTTAAAGAGGCATATTCATGTTGTTCTCAGATGGACGTAAATATTAAGTTCTGTTTGTTCATTGACATGCCGTTACATTTAGATTCAGTTTTAATGTTTTTATTTCTGGTTTAACTTAGACAAACTTTATTGTCATTTTGTACACACAGGATGTATACAAATCAAAATTTTATTCAGTACAGCTCTCAAGACATTCCCATTTCTTAAGGTGCAGCAGTGATAAAATGTAAACATGTTGATCAGAGGTAAACATAAGACTGAGATATTATTTACAGTTTTCCAACATTAAGCCTTTTTTTTTTTTCTTTCTTCGTTTTATTGAACATTCAGCATTCTAATGGCAGCGGGAAATAAGCTGTTTTGGAATCTGCTGGACTTGCATCGGATGCTTTGAAGCCTCTTCCCAGAGGGCAGCAGGGAGAACAGTCCATGGTGGGGATGTGAGGGGTTACTTACGATGTTATAGGCTTGGGACACGCAGCGCTGGGATGAAATGTCTTTTGTAGAGGGAAGAGGAGCCCGGATGATCTTCTCTGCAGTTCTCACTACTCTCTTCAATTTCTTCCAGTATGCTGCTTTGCATCCTCCACCCCACATAGTGAGACAGCTGGTCAGAGTGCTCTCTATTGTGCTTCTGTAGAAGGTTGTGAGGATGGGTGGGGGCAGGTGGGCTCTCGTCCTCCTCCTCAGGAAGTAGATGCACTTTTGTGCCCTTTTGACCATTGAGGTGGTCTTTACAGTCCAGGTGAGGTTGTCTGTGAAGTGCATCCCCAGGAATTTGGTGCTGCTGACCACCTCTACAGCTAACCTGTTGATGAGAAGTCGACTATGGTTAGGCTGATTCTTTCTGAAGTCAATGATGATCTCTTTCGTTTTCTCTACAATCAGGGTCAGGTTGTTGTCTTTGCACCAGCTGCTCCACCTCCTTTCTGTAGTCGTGGTCATTGCCATCTTTAATGAAGCCCACCACTGTGGTGTTGTCTTCGGACCTCACGATGTGATAAGTGGTGAACCTGGGGACGCAGACGTGTGTCACCAAGGTGAACAGAAGGGGCCTCAGGACACAGCCCTAAGGGGAGCCTGTGCTTAGGGTGATGACATCAGAGGTGTTCTGTCTGACCTGGAAGGACTGAAGTTTCTTTGTGATAAAGTCTAGCAGCCAATGGCAGAGGGGTGTATTGAAGCCCAGCTGTTCCAGTTTTCTTATCAGATGTGGTGGGATGATGGTGTTGCAAGCTAAACTGAAGTCAAGGAACAGCATCCGCACATGGGTGTTCTTCTCCTTCAGGTGTGCCAGGCTCAGGTGAAGTGCAGAGGAGAGGAGATGGCATAATCAGTGGAGTGGTTCTGTCGGTAGGCAAACTGGAACTGGTCGAATGTTGGGTGGAGACTGGAGACGATGTGTTCTTTAACCAGCCTTACGAAACACTTCATCATCATGGGAAAAGTGTGACAGGCCGCTAGTCATTAATTGAGGTGACCTGAGGTTTCTGAGGACTTAAGCCTTTGGAAAGCCCGATTAGCCTGATCAGACCAACATAACCTAACCTTGGAGGAGGTGAGAGCATGAGGGGGCGTGGCCACCTGACTCTAGTTCCTGATAAACCTGTGATAAAAGTTGGCGAATCGCAGGAATCTCTGTAGCTGCTTTCAAATTACAGGGAGCCGGCCAGCCGGCAACCGCACACACCTTCATGGGGTCCATGGAGTTCTGATCTGGGGAGAGCACAAAGCCCAGGAACGACATAGTGTTAACATGAAACTCACATTTTTCTGCCTCGACAAACAGCTGGTTCTGAAGCAGACAAAGCAGGACAGATCTGAAATGTATTATACAGGACTCTAAATCCTGAGAATAAATAATAATGTCCTCAAGGTAAACAAATATAAAATGTCCATCCATGTCCCTGAGCATGCCGTTAAACAGATTCTGGAAAACAGCAGCAGCATTAGTGAGCCCAATATGCATCACCAAATACTCATAATGGCCAGTGGGAGTATTGAAAGCAGTATTCTATTCGTCCTCACTGATGCGGACCAGGTGGTAAGCATTGTGAAGATCCAGCTTGGAAAAAATCTTAGCCTCCTAAATCTGGTTAAAAGCTGAGTTGTTCAAAGGGATGAGGTAGCAATCTTGACTATGATGTCATTAAGACCCCTGAAATCTATACATGGGCTGAGGGAATCATCCTTCTTCCCCACAAAAAAGAAGCCCGTTCCAGCAGGGGAAGAAAAGGGACGAATTATGCGTCACATATTTCTCCATAGCGAGAGTCTCAGGAGCAGATAACAAAAAAAAATCTACCTCTAGGGGGTGTGTGTGTTGGCAGCAGATTATTCGGAGATAGAGCAGTAGCTCTGCTTTTATTGAAAACCTCCCGGAGACTGTGATACTCCACAGAAATCTTAGAGAGATCAGGGTAATAATCCTCATCCTCACTCTTAGCTGAGGCTTCTGATTTGGCTGGGCGTAGACAGGAACCAGGACAGGAAGTACCCCCGCCTAAATCCTCCTACTTCTGCTAATTGATATGCGGATTATGCTTGTTAAGCCAGGTTAAGCCTAAAATGACTGGAACCTGAGGAGAAATAATGATTATAAAGGATATAATTTCAGCATGATTAACGGGCAGATTATACTTCTGCAACTGCACACATCAAATGTTGCTTGGGTCTGGTCCTGAACCAGTTTTGCTGGTATGCTTCTACACCGTCGTTCTGGAATCTCTAGAGACACACAGCAGTTTCCTACCACAGCGCAAGGGGGAACCTATTCGAGAACTCACAAGAACTTCGCCGGATGGTCACGAGGACTTCGGCAGCGCCGGCGGCACAGTTTATCTACCAAGACAACAATGGCGCGTCTGCAAGATATCATAGTCACCGAGATTAATCTAGAGTTTCTAGACATCGAAGAAGAACAGGTTCTGTTAATGGAGTCGGCAAAAAGCCAAAGGTGTAGATGTAGGTTGTCCATTGTAGTTGTTCCTCCTTTTTTTTTAAAATGGCGCCCCCCCGGCACTGAATCGAGAAGGACGACCACACAGACAGCCAGAAAGGCATACCAAGGACCAATCACAGCTGCTTTTTCTCTGCGCACTTCTGCTTGAGGTCTGCGCAGCTTTGCGACTGTCCGACGCATAGTCAGGATTTTTTTGAGGTGCTTGAATTCGGTTACAGAACCTCTGCGCGGGGGGCATGGTCGTGCACAGAGACAGATTTGATGGTTGCAGAGGTTATACGTCGGAAGCATAAATTGGCCTTACCACCCACCAGTACATCCACCGGTTCAGTCATAAGTGATGACTGGTCAAGTTCATGACCATCTAAGGCTAGAACCTTGTGGGAGTATTTTGGTGGACCGAGCTTAATGCTGAGTCTTCTGGCCAGGTCCCCAACCATAAACCCGGTGTCAGCTCCAGAGTCCACAAAAGCTAAAAGACTATGACTGAGAGCACCGACAGAAAGAGTCACAGGAAGCAGGAGTTCTGGGGAGGCAGATAGTCTAGCATGGCTCAGCAGGATCCCTTACTGCTTCTATAGAGCCTGTCCTTTTACTGGACAAGATCTCAACAAATATCCCTCACCAGCAACCACTTGGCTGCTGTAAAGCCAGTGGAAGTCGATTATGCAATCAGACACAGACGGATTCCCCAGTCTTGATGCCAGGAGTCCTCTTGAAGCTTCCCTGCTAGGGAGAACTGGGCTGAAAACTCAAATTCATTCTTTGGAGAAACTTTCATAAGAACTACAAAGAACGGGATTATTCTACCACTCCGACATTCCCCATAACTTTGCCTTGCCTGCTAACAGCAAGATCAGATATGACAACTTTGCACAATCAGAAGGCAACACGGAGGTCTGCAGCTCAAAGTGGATTTCAAATTGAGTCAAAAAGGCTCATCATTGTTCCAGATTGCCCCTAAATAAATTCGGGGATGACAGGCGCGCCTCTTGGCTGGCTATGCTAGCCTGAGCAGGTGACAGATCAGGTTCTGCAGTGGAAGAGGAATCAGAGGCAGGCGAATCCTGATTACGTAGCTGGATGAGAATGTCCCCCACACCTGATTCTAATTGAGTAATACTGAATTCAAATCCTGCCTCCACTGTCTCTCCACTGATGGATCCATGTTTGGCCAGATTATTCTGTCAGAAGACTCAGAACATAGGACCCAGAATTTAGATGAGACAGACAGTGATACTTGAAAGGCGTTTTATTGAAAAGACTGAGTGCAGCACTTACCTGTGTTTTTGGAGAAACACAAGTAAGTGACCATGATAATCTGACTGAAGATAATTATCAATGTGAGTCACTTACCTGGTTTAACAGTTCAGTCCATCCTCTTTAGAGCAAGGCAGGATCCAGCCAATGGACTGCCAAAGAGCTGAGGTGGGGACTTCAGCCTCAGTAAACAGACAGGAGTCCAAGCCCGGTCAGGAAACAGTTCAGAACAGGACAGTTCTGAGATCCATGAGCCTGCAACCTGGCCAAGGGTTCTGAACAGAAAAGGAACAGACAGATCCAGGGTTTCAGAAATCCACAGAGAGTTCAAGCAGGGTCAGGGTTCCACGAGTCTAACAGCAAGCCGAGGCAGAAATATTTAGAAGGAAAACAGGCAGACTCAGTGTGCAACTTTAAACTAGCTCCCTCCACTGAGCCAAAACAGGAACAGGGCGCTATCACCAGACAAGTGCCAGGACATGACCAGGAAACACCGAGACAAGACTAAAAACCGTCTCCAACTGTAACCACTGGTCTCCTAGAATGAGCACACGAATCATGGAAATCAGCCATGATCTCCAACTAAAAACTCAAAGTCAAACAAGCAAAGAAACATACAATGATATGTCCCTGAAAGCTGGGTTGAGCCATATATAAAGCAGCAGGAGCAGGTGCAGGAGATATTAGTTACCACGGGTTAGGCAGGTGACTTAAGTGAGCAAAATTGGTCAGTTCATAGGGCAGCAATCATGGCATTTTTCTCTGTGGAAAGACAGGAGCCACATTGGGGAGGGAGAGGGGGAAAAAAAGCATTTTTCAAACTTTATCCTGGTACAGTTTTAGATATATAAAAAAACACCTCAGCATAAGAAAAGCACGTGTAACACGTGACAAACATCTCAGCAGAAGGTAAATCTTGGAGGCTGGAGTCAAATGTCAGTCCAGTATTTGAGCATCAATTGTGTGTGTATGAATGAGTGCATTCAATTATTCAATTTGTCCATGAACGCTGTCCAGAGGCCATTGGCCTTTATAAGATGGAAGTTTATCAAGGGCACTATAGTTCTGAATGTGTTTACAGGTGTCCACGGGTAGGGGTTGGGGGGAGCTGGCTGTTCTGGGCCCTTTCGCCATAACATCCAGTCTTGATAAGGGGAGGCCGTAATCCAAAATACACTTTTTGTTTTGCTGCACAGAATTTCAAGTCTGAATTTTCATCAGACTTGAAGTCTTTTGTCGCTGGGCTCCACATGGTGAATACAATATTCAAAATTTGTTGCATTTTTCCGCCTTGAAGCGAGTGTGCACATCCAAGATATTATTCCATCTCATCTTTGAATTCAACCACCACAGCCAGCTTGCATTCAATCACACCCAGCATACGGCTCAGCTCCCAGTCCTGCTCGTTCACAGCCATTGTGAGCGTGTCAACCGCTGCCGGCAGCCTGATCAATGCCCAAATTGCCACCGACATCCTGTAATTGTAGATACATCAGGTATCCTCCAAATCCAAAAAGAAGAAATCCAAGTATCATATATTGTAAAATGCACCATCCTCCAAGCCTTCTATGAGTACATGGTGTATCCCACGAAGTATATCCAAGCAAGACAGGACTGGTCCCCTTTCCCTGTCTTACAGTTGAGAAATTTTGATCAATTGCATTGCGAGATTAGCTGACCAAATCCATTGTTTGAATTCGGGTGATATGCAGAGAGGGCTCAGAAAAGACAACACACAGTAGAGCAGGGACAGTGCAGGGAGTTGCAGGAGCAGAAGTAAAATGTAACCCCCTACTTTGAGAGTCAGAACAGTCTCTCAAAGTTAATGTGTGCACTTAATGTGTCAGACCCTCTGCAGCAACACACAAATGGAGGGTGGGTGCCAGTGTTAATTTCATCAGCTTTTTTTTATTTAGTGTTAGTCATAGTCACAATGATAAAAATCAATTTTAGTTTTAGTCAAATTTTAGTCATTTTAGTGAACACCGTAAATAATAGAACTTCTCCACACACTGCTTTTCTTATTTAAATATTTCACACAGTACACATTGAATCTTTTGTCAACTTTTGTCTGCTTTTTGGCATGAGGTTTGTATGGTGGGGGGTGCTCCCAACATCTCTGCAAAAGACTTCCTGTCTTTCCCCAATGTCTGATTTGGCTGTGGTTTGGAGGAGGAAATTTAAGGCAAGGCAAGGCAAATTTATTTGTATAGCACAATTCAGTACAAAGACAATGCAAAGTGCTTTACATGATTAAAATATAGGAAAATAAAACAGAATCAAAACAAGTAGAAAAAAAAACATAAACAAATAATAAAAAATGCAGAAACAAGAAAGACCATTAAAAACAGTTGAACTAAAGGAAATAAAAAAGTTGAACTTATAATATTTCAGCTGAACTGTTTAACTAGAACAGTCGAAGACAATCCTAAACAAATGTGTTTTTAGTCTTGATTTAAAGGAACTCAGGCTTTCCGCACTTTTACAGTTTCTGGAAATTTTTTCCTGATAAATGGAGCATAGGAACTTCGCGTTGTAAACGAAATGGCTCCATACATCCAGGCGTTGTTTTTGCCCAGCTCCTCCAACAAATAGTCTGAGCCCAGCGTCATGACTGCGAAGTTGAGCTAGGACTATAAGCCCTCTGCTACTATTGACTGAGCGGCCCGAGGCAGTGAGGGACAAGTGCCGTCTAGGGACAAACAACACGTAATCTTCCATGAAGCAAAGGAAACACTTATATTAACAATTACAAATTAATTATAAACATTTACATTTCTTAATGCCCATTCGTCCATGGCTCGTAAATTTCGTCTGGTCTTAAGTCTCGTTATTATCTCGGCATTATCGAAATATTTTCGTCATCGTCCTGGTTGAAGAAATTAACACTGCTGGGTGCTCAGTCATGGGGTTTAGGGGCCGGTTTAGGATTGGGCCAAAGACAGTAAACATAGAAGCTGCCTTGAGTTCAGGAAGTAGATCAATTGTGCATAGAGCCCATTGTAATAAAGATTGTTTTATTTCAGCTGCAACAATCTCTCCTACCCGGAAGTCATTTTTCTCAGAAATATTCAACTGTAGCTATTTCTGACTAACCAAATATAGTCCCTTGTGCACAGACTCTCCCTCGATTGTTTTCCATTATACCAATGCCTCCTTTGTGATCACAAAGACTGCAGAACTTTTTGCGATGATTTTGCATCTGAGTTTCAAATGAGCCATATATAGACAAAAACTGCCCTTCCGATCCTTTAAACTGATTAATCACATTCCTGGCACCAAGTATTTACATTTGAACATCCCCCACCCAGTATTTTTGCAGTTTGTTTGTAAGAGTATGATCTGTGTATTTATTAACTCATACACTAACACAGCTTCTTTTAGACCTGGTATGAGGGTTAGCTTTGCACATTTTATTTTTTTTGTTTGTAAGTTGTTTTTTTTTTACATGCAAGCCTTTTGATGATCAGACCCTATTTGTGAATTTGAGGGAGTTTTTATTTTTAGCTTTTGTGTGTGGCTTTTTACCTTAAAGAAACATCTGTTACAATGAACCATAGACGCATTGTGTAATGTCTGTCTTTACAGATGCCCCTTCTGAGCCATGCTGGTATTGTCTGAGGTCTCTTGAGGCTGAATCTCTTCCCAAAGTTACGAAACAGGAGGTAATATTCTGACTGAGATCATTTAATCAATAGGAATGTAATCACACATAGTCTAAAATGGTTGATTTTAAAATTAACGGAATGATCTAAAATGTCCAAATTGGACATCATCTGGAAAAGAGTAACTGAAACATCTTTTTCTAAATTAATGAAAGGATTTTCAATGAACTATTGGTTTGGATTTCCCCCCAGTATTTCTTGCTTTCATTTTTCTTTTGATATTTCCTTGTTTGTTTCTATGGTGGTGTTTTAAAAGTTCAATCCTTTTTTGTTAAGTTTCTTACTTTTTTTTATGTCTTGTTCTTTTTACTTAACATTTACACCCTTGGTAAAAGTTTGTCTGTGTCTCATTTCAACTCTCTTTGTGTTATTTGGTGATCATCCATGCTCAGCCAGCCAAAGTTGACCCTTGAAGGCTGCTGCCATGCAGCTTGTAGAGGTCCCCTGCTTCAGCACAGCTGATTTCAATTGATAGCTCATTAACAGGATTGGACTGAACTACAATCATTAGAACCAGCTGTGGAAACCTCTTTGGGCAGGCACGTTGCATGCTGTCATTCTGACACAGCTGTTTTCCATGTTGCTCATTTAGCATTTAAACCCCTGACGTCTTATATTTTAATAGAGGATTCTTCAGTTACTATAAACTGTTTTTTTTTTTGTCATTGTAAGGTTTTTTTCTTCCATTATTACAAACTCTTCACTCTACCTCTCTTATCTGGTTTTACCTGCACATTAGGCCAGCTTAAAAAACACACATTTAAGGATATATACAGCTGAATATGTAAACTTGGAATGACTTAGTTGATCTCATCTGTCAAATTGATGTACCGATATTTTCTAATCTCCTATTGTCGCTATTCAACTTGCATTTGTTTATTATTTATACAGTCCAATCTCTATGTGTGACTGTATGTAGTGCCTTATCAGCAAAGTAAATTGCTGTTATGTGTAAAATTTTACATTGCAGATACATGCTTCATCTAATTCTGAAATTATCTTTTTTTTTTTTTTTTTTTTTTTTTTTTACCAAATATTATTGTATTAGGCAGTAGGCATTTGGACTTATGTAAATTTGTTCTTTCAGACTTTTCCCCATTGTTCTTTAACAATTGTGTAACAGCAGATAGGTGACCAATAAACCAAACTGAAAGATTTTGGCTCTACAGACTGACACCTACTCTGCTTATGTTTCAAAAATGAAAAGCTAGCTCTAAACTTCTTAAAAGGTCAAACAAAAATAATTCTTCTATGAAATTTTGACTGCAGAATGGATTTTTCTGTGCAGTGATATACTCCAATTAATACATTCTGAAATTAGCAGAAGTCATCAGATTATTTACATGACAAAGAAGAAAGAAAAAAGAACTGACATCTTATTCGATATGTTGATTTTCCGACACATTTTGCTTCTTGAAGAGAACACTACAATTTTTTAAGCTTATTTCTTTGTTCTTCTCTTTAATTATTAAAATTCTGTGTTTTTAAATAATTATTCAAGCCTCCTTTGAAATGCAATTTAATTTTCAAAGGCACAACTGTACATTGAAAGACAAAAATTATTAAATTAATTTGAAGTCTTTCAAAAGAAATACACATAACTCTAAAACAACAATAAACAAACCAAAGTCTGTTCCATTTAGCCACTTGTAAATGTATATATATCCAGGTAAAATATTCTGTCTTGCATCAAGTGTATTGGATAAATGTAACTTTGGTTTAATTCAAGTAAAGAATTATTTATGTGGCCCTAAAAACAGTGTTGCTTTTACTCTTTACATGCAAACAAGCACCACTAAAATACTGTGGTTTCACCCTGCAAATCTCCTCGATTATTGATGTGAAAGTGTCGCATTTACAGCATAGTTCTTATCAGACATTGCATTAAACTGCAGGTATCTGTTCCCTGTTTCAGGAAAACTCTGATCCTGAATTACCTCTGCTCTCTAGTGGCCAGAAAATAAACTACCAGACAGACCCTCGGCCTCACTTTGGTGTCGCCTGCTCCTCCCACTCTACATGTCAGCCACTGTGGGGAAGCGAGGGGCCTAGCTGGGGACAAAGAACCCAGGAGGCTGACCAGACAGACATCTGTCCACACTGCCATCTTGGCTTGACCCCTGACACCCTGCGCTGGCATGAGGTCATTACAGATGCTTTTCAAAGAGACACAACTAAAATTTACTCAATGTTAACAAAAAATATATTTCTTTCTTCACAGGCAAAATGTCTGCTGTTTGAGGAGCTGAGGAGTTCCAAGAAAGAAAATTAATCACTGTGAAAGATCAAATCAATCTAAACATTGCATTTAAATTTTATTTCAGTATCCAAACTTCTAAATTATTTGTGTATTACAAAATTCTTAGTCATGTCTCAACTTAACTAATGGTTAGATATGTTATACCATTAGTATAGTATATTTCCACATTTTGCATTAATTCATTACTGTGGTACCATCTTAATCTCCAAGTGGACCATTTATCTATATATGATTGCATTTAAAATGTCATATTTATAGATAATTTTACATTACCTTATATAGAAGTGGTAGCTGCATTTAATTAGTCTGCTCTGGTTCCCATGTTGCTCATCACTTATTCAGTAGTTTATTTCCATTTATGTCCCTCCACTGTCAAATTCTTGTTTCCTGCTGTGTCTGTACCAATTTGCTTGTTACTGTCATCCCTTGTTTAGCTTGTTATCTTTAGCTACATTCTCTAGTTCCTCGTCTCTTACAGATTTTCTGAGCTTTTTAATTAATTTCCTGGACCTCACCTGAGACGCTGAGGGAATGTGACTAAATACAAAAATGAACACAGGGAAGAAAAGGATGTTACTAAATGAAAAGGAAAAAATTCTGTAGAAGGTAAAACTATGAAGGTAAAATGCAACTCAATGAACAGAACACAAAAATGAAATGAGAATACCTGTGAGTAAAAAACAAAAATGAAAATAATCCCAACCAAATTATATGAAATCCAAAGGACTAAAAAGAAACACAAAGACCCACAGATCATTACACTGTCAGAGAATAATATTAAATGTGTTTATCAATATATTATAAAGACAAAAAATATTCCCTTTTCTTTGAATTGAAATCCTTTGCAACCATTTTGTATTCAAATTCTTCTTGTGCAAATAAATGTTAATCTCTGTACGATAATATGGAGTATTCCTTCTATCGTTTTGAGTTAATGTTTTTGTTAAATGTCACTAAACTCTCCTCCTAGGTTTGTTGTTTTCTCTTTAAGACCTTTATAAAATGTGCATTATAAAGCTATTTCTACTTTTAAGATACAATTCTGTATTTTCACTAATATACTATGGACAGTCAATATTACAACAACTTCTGTTTCTCTGTACTAATGCTGAAAAAAAAAATATGCTAAAGCAAATTAAACAAAATGTAATAATTATCTAAAGAATTACATTTAAAAAGCAACAAAATTTTCATTTATATCTTTTCTGAATGGATAACTGTAAAATGTTTTAGGGAGAACAAGAAAATTGTTTGCTAATTATTGGATTAAAAGACATTAAAACATGAAAATATTGTAAGAGAAAAAGAAAACACAACGGAAAGCTGCTGCTCTGTAAAGATTAGCTTTTTCAAGCCACTTGGTCTTAAAGCTACAGTGTGTAATTTTCTGCCATATCTAATGCTCAGACTGCAGAATATTACCTGCTTCTCCCAACGCTTCTCCTCCTCCTAAAATATGGAGGTTGTCATAGTACAAAATGGCTTCTTTATAGTCGCAGTGCCTATTTTGTCAAGTTATGATGAGCTTTGTTTACTATGGCATCAGGGTTCTGCCAAAAGTGCAGAAATGCAATAAATATTCCTACGAGCAACTTTACTTCATACAGACAGTCATAAACTACTCCTCAGGTGCATGTTTACGGTGTTAAAGGTATTGTGGGGGATTTTCGCAAATTTTTGAAACTTAAAAAAAAAAAAATGCACATGCCCAACCCTGTACCCTGTAAACGTGCGCGAGAGCATGCAAGCATGCACAAGCCCATTTCTCTCGTTTCCAGCTACACGCTTGACCCACAGGCTGAATTGTGTTAAATGCATTGGATAATTCAAATAACAAGATTCGCACAGTGCTGTCTGCCTTGTGTAAATAACAATGGGTTTATTGAAGCAGGTGTATAATGGCATCTTCAACTTCATCTCCATGACGATAAGAAAAATGCAAGTGGGCCTGATAGCTGCATGTTTTCTCCTCACCCAAGGAATGTTGGCTGTTTTGAGGGTGAACATTCTCAGTCATCCAGGTCATAATCATTCAAAAAAGTAAAAAAAAAAAAACAAGTCCAGTGTTGTTGTTTTTTTTTTTTGTTTTTTTTTTTGTTTTTACTTTTTTGGAATTTTGGCTGTTTTCTTTTTAATTAAACTGTTGGAGTGTTTTCTTTTGATTTGTATCCGTAACTAATTTTATAACTAATTCCTTGTGATGTAGCATAACCCAAAGTTTCTGTAAAAGTGTTTTTCTCTGCTGCAAGTTCTGCCAGAGAGGACTCTCTTCAGGTAATACCTAACTCACAGATAATTTCCAGTTTTGTGGTTTTTTTTCTGACAGTGCCTGTTCATTCTTAGTTGAACGGGCTCAGGAATCTGTATCTACTGGCTGCTACTGTGAGACAACCACCTGTTTTACTATTAAAATTCATATAGACCAAGGAGAATTTTGAAGACAGGTTTAGGGAGGAAGATTCTCCCTCCTCTGGCTGTGAAGACGAAGATATGTCCGTAGACAACCGTGGCACTGAGATTGGTGAGTGGGAGAGGCTGCCTGACGTTTGCTTGCTGCACATCTTCAAATATCTCCCTGACTATGATCGCAGCAAGGCAGCTCTGGTTTGTCATCACTGGCACAACATGATGCGCCTGCCTTGTCTCTGGCGCTACCGTTCCTTCTACTTCACTGGTCGTGTCTCTAGATACAAGCAGTCTGAATACAACGTAGCCGTTGGCTATGCTAAAAATCTGGGGGTCTTCTTGGAAAGTTTGAAGGTGACTGTCTCTCCTCCACAATCCGTCGCGCTGGCGGAGCGTCTAATTCTTACCATATGTGGCCTGCTGGTGACACTTGTCAGGTAAAACAACTTGCAGCCTAAACATGTATCTGAGAGCAGGCTTGAAAACTGAGCATTTCTTTGTCACCACAGAGTAAAAGCCCAGTTGAAGTCCCTTTCAATCGAAAGACTACAGCTGGACCGGTCAGCCTGGGGTCAGGGCCTCAGAAATAATCTGGTGGATAACCTGATTTTTTTCCTCTCGGCTGGTTCCTCAAGACTGAAAGTAATTTGTTTGAACAAGATTCAGATCAGTATTCCACAGGTAACTGCATCTTTATGACATACAATTTTTTTTGTTTTTTTGATATACATTTTTACAAAAGGTATGTTTTTTTTTGTTAGCTTGAAATTCATTTTTAGTCTATGAAACATAATCAATTGTCTGGTGAGTTTTCAGTCAACCTCTCCAGAACACTAAAACAAATAAACAGAGGAAGCAACAATTCAGTTTTGTAAATACAAAAAGGAAAACAATCCACCCTTTTTATTAAAAAGCAAAGTATATTAAATGTTATACGTACTATTAGTACACATAACAAAGAAATTAGGGAGGAAAAGTCGATTAATAATATTGATGATAAACTCAAAAGAGTGGTTTTTGATGCCAGGTGGACACAGCTGGAGCAAAAACTGAAGGGACTGTAGTCCTTTTTTTTAATTCAAAGGGACACCATATGAATTATAATCCCAATTCAAGTCTGTGAAAGATTTGACATCATACCTAATGTGGTCTCTGTCCTACATAACATTCAAGGATTTGAAAATATTGTATTGAGATTAAGGTTATTAAAAATTATTTGAAAATTGTATTATTGCAAATACCGGTAATAATTTAAGACAAAGGGTATTTGCAAAGCTTTAGAAAATCAATTGCCAATATACTTATTTTATAAACAAATGAAATGCAGGTCTACACATTTTGTTTTCATTAAGAAATATTTCAACAAATGTTTATCTTTCCTTGTTGTTAATTTTTCTAACTTTAAGCATTGTTGAGGGCATAAAAATATCTAGACTTAATAATATGTGCACCAACAGGGCTTAAAGTGTTTATAGGAAGTGTCATCAAAGAGCATACACAACCGTCTGGGAAATTAAACTCAAAGCACTTCCTCTTCTCAGCAAAAAAAAACATTTTATGAACTTTTTGCCTTTAAATTGTTGCGAAATTGAGGTTGTTACTTTCACTGCTGTGTAAAAACATATGAATCGTTTAGGCATGTTTCAAATTTCTAATAACAGTTATAACAGACAACAATCTCATTCACTGTCAGGTACCTGTTGAACCAGATACAAGAGTTTTTCAAAGGGTCCTAAGTGTGCCCTGAATGTGTAATAACTGCCAATAGTGACAGTATGGCTGTTTGACTAACACAAATGGTTTGTTGCGTAAGAATAGGCATAAAAGAATATGCGTCAAAGGGCTATTTGAATGGTTGGGTTATCTTATAAAACAGGAAGTGGAAAGACATTCGATTTCGTACCACTTTAATGCCTGAATCTCTGTAGACACAACTCAGTTCTTATAGCCATGAGCACATCTGGTTTTATGAAGTATATTACTCACTTACAAACTAACCTTACAACTTGTTTTAGTGTAGTTCTCTATTCACTGGTATATACGAAAAAACACCACTCAGTTTGTGTGTATAGCTATAACTACCACAATAACGCAGTTGTACCTGCTTTATTTCCCCTTTTTAACCTGCAGGGTCTGAATCTTCTTTCTGCAATAATACAAAACCAGAGCAGACTCTATCCCCTTTGCAGCCTTTATTCTTTGGACTTAAGGAGCTTCTTTTCTGTCACTGTGCCAAACCACATCATTCCCAAGATGTATTCCATGCTGCAAGAGCTCCGAGGCCTCTCTCACCTCTACCTCAGCTATTCCTGTTTGTCTGATGACTTGCTGCGATCTCTCAGTCAAAGTAACAGAGAAAAGAGATCCAGCAGGGGCAGAGGAGGAAACATCCTGCAGAGTTTGTCACTGTACTGCTCTCGGAATGAGCCGCATCAGCAGGTAAGGTAGGTTAAAATGGATCACTGAGTATTGGCTGTGTAAAAGCTTCAAAAAGAATAGCTCAGTACAAAGATAAACAATAAGCCAGTAGATATTTCACTGATAAGTCAAAGATATATATATATATATATATATATATATATATATATATATATATATATATATATATATATATATATATATATATATATATATATATATACACTATATTGCCAAAAGTATTTGCTCACCTGCCTTGACTCACATATGAGCTTAAGTGACATCCCGTTCCTAATCCATAGGGTTCAATATGACGTCGGTCCACCCTTTGCAGCTAGAACAGCTTCAACTCTTCTGGGAAGGCTGTCCACAAGGTTTAGGAGTGTGTTTATGGGAATTTTTGACCATTCTTCCAGAAGCGCATTTGTGAGGTCGCACACTGATGTTGGACGAGAAGGCCTGGCTCTCAGTCTCCGCTCTAATTCATCCCAAAGGTGTTCTATCGGGTTGAGGTCAGGACTCTGTGCAGGCCAGTCAAGTTCATCCACACCAGACTCTGTCATCCATGTCTTTATGGACCTTGCTTTGTGCACTGGTGCACAGTCATGTTGGAAGAGGAAGGGGCCAGCTCCAAACTGTTCCCACAAAGTTGGGAGCATGGAATTGTCCAAAATGTCTTGGTATGCTGAAGCATTCAGAGTTCCTTTCACTGGAACTAAGGGGCCAAGCCCAGCTCCTGAAAAACAACCCCACACCATAATCCCCCCTCCACCAAACTTTACACTTGGCACAATGCAGTCAGACAAGTACCGTTCTCCTGGCAACCGCCAAACCCAGACCCGTCCATCAGATTGCCAGATGGAGAAGCGCGATTCGTCACTCCAGAGAACGCGTCTCCACTGCTCTAGAGTCCAGTGGCGGCGTGCTTTACACCACCGCATCCGACGCTTTGCATTGCACTTGGTGATGTATGGCTTGGATGCAGCTGCTCGACCATGGAAACCCATTCCATGAAGCTCTCTGCGCACTGTTCTTGAGCTAATCTGAAGGCCACATGAAGTTTGGAGGTCTGTAGTGATTGACTCTGCAGAAAGTTGGCGACCTCTTCGCACTATGCGCGTCAGCATCCGCTGACCCCGCTCCGTCAGTTTACGTGGCCTACCACTTCGTGGCTGAGTTGCTGTCGTTCCCAAACACTTCCATTTTCTTATAATACAGCTGACAGTTGACTGTGGAATATTTAGGAGCGAGGAAATTTCACGACTGGATTTGTTGCACAGGTGGCATCCTATCACAGTTCCACGCTGGGATTCACTGAGCTCCTGAGAGCGACCCATTCTTTCACAAATGTTTGTAAAAACAGTCTGCATGCCTAGGTGCTTGAATTTATACACCTGTGGCCATGGAAGTGATTGGAACACCTGATTCCAATAATTTGGATGGGTGAGCAAATACTTTTGGCAATATAGTGTATATATATATATATATATATATATAAGTTGTAAATGATCTCTTTCAAGGTGGTGTGTGGTTACTTGTGGGCCAACTTGGTGTCCAACTGCCTGGATCTGAAAGTCAGCATCACAGTGGATCAAATCATGGACACACAGCAGCTGGCAAGGATTTTGCTACCTGACATACCCCTTGTGGCATTCAGCATGACTGCTTTCTACACAGTAGACCCAAACACGAGTGCGAAGCCTCTGCTCCACAACTTGCTGCCTTGCTACAGACACAGCCTGCAGGTCTGAATGCAGAACAAGCCGCATTGCATAACACAAAAAGGCCTAAGAGTGGTAGAAAAGTTTTCATCCAAGCAACCACTAGCTGTCTGGGTACCTTCTTCTGCCTTATGAGCAATATATAAATATTAGTATTGTTTGGCATATTTAGTTAAGGCTTAAGGAATATATAGTTGTATATAGCGACTCTCTACATTGTGTTTACATTGTATTCATCCTTCTTGCTCTTTATTACTTGAAATTTTGCAGACATGTTTGCCTTTTTTCAATTCAGCTGGGGAATTTCATCTGCACATTCTTCTACCATTAATAACTGTTACACTTTTTAAAACAGACAAATACATATATTGTGTCCTGTAAATATCTTAGCAGAACTACAGCTTTCCGTAAAAATTCAAAAAATATCCACTGGACTTGGTTTTCAAGATTTGAAGACGTTTCGCCACCTCTCCAGGAAGCTTTCTCAATTCAAATGTCTGGATCCGCAGTGAGTTTGAGTCTTATATAGACAACGCCTTGTATCGCTTGGAAACATGCAATGGTAACCAATGAATGGGTCGTTAGTTCCATCGTTAGCCTGTAATATCTGAACCTGTCTATGATTCTAGGGGTCGGTCGTTAAAGGGGGGATTGCCATTAAGGGGGGGGATTGTCTCCTGTAATACCTGAAACCTGTCTATGATTGTGAAGAGTCGGTCATTAAGGTGTTATTGTTCACCGGCTGGAGCGGGTAGGTTCCCTCGTTCCTCTGTGATGGGGTGGGGGGTTTGGTGATATCTGGAAGGGATCATGTCTATGATTGAATTGTATGTTTTTGGAAGCTGGAATCTGAGTCCACCACCTCTGTTTAAAGTTGGTTTTTCTCTCTTAACATAGATGGCTTCCTTCACGCCCCTCTCAAACCACCTATTTTCTTTATCCAGAATATGGACATTCTGGTCCTCAAAAGAATGTCCTTTGTCCATAAGGTGTAGGTGTACTGCAGAGTCTTGTCCAGAGGCGGCCGCTCTTCTGTGTTGGGCCATGCGTCTGTGGAGAGGTTGTTTTGTTTCGCCAATATAAAGATCAGAGCATTCCTCGCTGCACTGAACAGCATATACCACTCCGCTCATATTCTATCTTTAGGGTGTGCACCCTAAAGATAAAACCTCCAGACCGAATATGAGCGGAGTGGTATATGCTGTTCAGTGCAGCGAGGAATGCTCTGATCTTTATATTGGCGAAACAAAACAACCTCTCCACAGACGCATGGCCCAACACAGAAGAGCGGCCGCCTCTGGACAAGACTCTGCAGTACACCTACACCTTATGGACAAAGGACATTCTTTTGAGGACCAGAATGTCCATATTCTGGATAAAGAAAATAGGTGGTTTGAGAGGGGCGTGAAGGAAGCCATCTATGTTAAGAGAGAAAAACCAACTTTAAACAGAGGTGGTGGACTCAGATTCCAGCTTCCAAAAACATACAATTCAATCATAGACATGATCCCTTCCAGATATCACCAAACCCCCCACCCCATCACAGAGGAACGAGGGACCTACCCGCTCCAGCCGGTGAACAATAACACCTTAATGACCGACTCTTCACAATCATAGACAGGTTTCAGGTATTACAGGAGACAATCCCCCCCCTTAATGGCAATCCCCCCTTTAACGACCGACCCCTAGAATCATAGACAGGTTCAGATATTACAGGCTAACGATGGAACTAACGACCCATTCATCGGTTACCATTGCATGTTTCCAAGCGATACAAGGCGTTGTCTATATAAGACTCAAACTCACTGCGGATCCAGACATTTGAATTGAGAAAGCTTCCTGGAGAGGTGGCGAAACGTCTTCAAATCTTGAAAACCAAGTCCAGTGGATATTTTTTGAATTTTTACGGAATGACTATGACCTGGATGACTGAGAACCTTCACCAGCAACTACAGCTTTGTAAAACCACCTTATTGAATCAAAACAAATAGACATGTTCTTGTCTTTCTATAGAATCTAAAACTGGACCTAAACAACCAAAGCGAAACACTCGATGATGAGCTGGTGGCGTTGGTTGATGTGTGTGAGTGCCTTGTAGATCTAAGTGTCTGGGCTTTTTTGGACGTCCTCACTGTGGGGAGGGTCCTGCAGATCAGGCTGACTAAAAGGATGTCACTCAACAACATCAGAGTAAGGAAACAGAGAAAACTTTAATTTTGTAATTACTGTACTAAAATACATTAGGAACATACAGTAGATGAAAATACATTTGCATTACAGATGACAATCCTGACAATGACTGAGAACATCGTGGGGAAGGAAGAACAGCTCGTGGAAGTACTGTCTCCCTTCTCTTACCCTCCTCAGCTAAAGTTCTCTGCTGCCGTTTGCCCCTTAACATGATGCCTCCAACTGTGCCTAAAGACCAAATTGGGCACAAGCTCCCAGATAAAAAAATTTAATAAAATGAATGAAGCATAAACACTGCTGTTTCATCATTTAACAAACCAAACAACAAATAACCTGTCATGCTATGTTTTTTCTTGGGGGACGGAGTAAACTGGGGTTGTGTTTGGAAAACCTGACCTACTTTAACTGTAAAGGGGGAATTCAAGCAATGTCGTGTCGGTGTTTGCTCCGGCATGGGTAAAGCACTATTTAAAGCAACAAAGGGCCAATGGCAGCAAGCTCTTCTCTGGAGGATTCATGAGAGACTAGAAAAAGAGTGAGCCTGCTATGTGTCTCTAATCTTATACAGGTGATTTTAATCTATTATCAATACATACTTTTAAGCTTATGTTATTAGTTTTAAGCTCTTAAGTATGAGACCCAACATTCCTTGCTATATTGAACCAAACCTGGAACTGTTTCCCGTGGTCACATGCTGACCATTCTGGATTTACATTTGGCTTCTCTTCGGACCACTGATCTCCCGGCCATGACTACCTAGCACCTCTTTGACACTGGTTTTGGCTTTGGCTTTTGGCCTCTAAGGTTATCCTGCCTTCCTTCTTCTGCTCAGTTCTGATCTCCTGTCGGTCCTCCTACCTCCGGGACATGAACATCTGGGACTCTCTTGAAGGGACCCACTGCGTCTTGTTGGCAGCCAACTGGCTCTTTTTATACCCAACCCTGTTGTCAATTGACCTAATTAGTGTTAGTTGGTCTTCCAGCTGTTCGTTATATTCTTAATATCCTTTTCCCAGCCACTTATTGCTACTTGTCCCAACTTTTTTGGGATCTGTAGACACTGTGAAAGTTTGAATCAACATATTTTTCCTTTAAAATGTTACATTTACTCAGATTTAACTTTTGAGCTGTGATCTATGTTCTATTACGAATAAAATATAGACATTTGCCATCTTCACATCATTGCATTCAGTTTTTATTCACAATTTGTTTAGTGTCCCAACTTTTTTGGAATCTGGTTTTTAGACTTTAGTCATATACTTCCTAAGGTGGGATTTTGGCCCATTCTTCCACACAAACAGTCTTCAAATCTTGAAGTATTCATGGCCCTCTTTTATGAACTCTGATATTTAGTTCTTTGCATAGATTTTCTATTGGATTTAAGTCAGGTGATTGGCTTGGCCGTTCTAGCAGCTTTATTTTATTTCTCTGAAACCAGTTAACCATTTCTTTGGCTGTGTCATTGTCTTGGTGAAATGTCCACCCATGTCTCATCTTCATCATCCTGGTAGATGGTAGCCGATTTTTATCAAGAATGTCTATGTACATTTTTCGATTTATCCTTCCTTCAATTATTTGAAGTTTGCCAGTACCATAAGCTCAAAAACAGCCCTACACCATGATGTTCCCACCCCCAAATTTCACTGTTTGTATGGTGTTTTTGGAGTGATGTGCAGTGCCATTTCACCTCCAAACATGAATAGATGATGTATTATGGCATCCAAAATGTTAAATTTTGGTTTTATCTGACCAGACTATATTCTCCAAGTATTTCACAGGCTTGCCTAAATGCTGTGAAAAACTTTAAACAAGCTTCAACATGTTTTTTCTTCAGCAATTGAGCCTTGCATGGTGAGTGGTCAGGCCATGACGGTTGAGTCCTTTACTTATTGTTTTCTTTGAAATAATTGTACCTGCTAAATCTTTCTAAAGCTCTTCACAAGTGTTATTTGGCTTAAAAAGCTCTTCTGATAATGATTTTCACTCCTCTGTCAGAAATCTTACGAGGAGCATCTGGCCATGGTCGGATTATGTTGAAATGATCTTTCCACTTCCAGATTATGGCCCCAACAGTGCACTCTGGAACATTTAGAAGTGTAGAAATTCATTGGTCATCAATGTCATCATTATTTGCAACAATAAGGTTGCAAAGGTTTTTTTTTAGAAAGCTCTTTATTTTGGAGATGGGGATTTGGGGGATTAAGGAATGGGGGGATGAAGGGAGGAAGGGATGGAGGGATGAGGGGAAGAGGGGATGGAGGGAAGAAGGGATGGTGAGATAAAGGGATGGAGGGAATATTGGTATTATAAATAAACCTTTTTTTTTCTTTCTTCACTTTTCAACTCTGCTTTCATATATCTGCTTCATCTCTCTCTTTTCTGGTGTCTCCTGCTGCTCCTCACCGCATACCTCGATGTTTTATGTGATGGGAAGGATTGGAAAAGAGAGCACAGAAGTTGACGGTATTTAGAGTCACGTTTTTTTTGTCATTTTTTTATGCTAAATCATAATTATTTCATGGTATGGTAAGTCCTCATCTAGGTAGGGTAACTCTAGATGAGCAGCAGATATGTAAGCTTTAGTTGGGAGAGTTTTTCTGTTGGACACCTTTTGGGAAATGGGGCAAGATGAAAGCTATTACGGAAAGAACGCCATACAAAGCCCCTCTTGACAAAGGCAATGTAGGGACAAAGCTCATCTGTGAAAAAGAGTTCTTGCCCGGTGAAACCAAGTCTGACCTTCTTTGCCTGTGTTCAAAAAAACAAAAAACAAAAAAAACAATTAATGTCTGTTAAAAACAACAACATTAAACATAAGAAGAGGGGGGTGTTGGCCTAGTGGTTAGAGCAGTGCGCTTGTGTTCTGAGAAGGTTGCAAGTACCCAGTTCGATCTCCACAGCATCCATTCTGGGTTCCTGAGCAAGACCCTAAACCTGACACTGCTCCCCAGGTGCCACACAATGCCAGCCCCCTCTCCCCGAGAGGATTGGTTAAATGCAGAGGTAAATTTCACCAGTGTGAGATCAATAACGTTTAATCATTATTATTATTCTTAACACACAATACACATCCTGAAACAGTGGTGGTACTATAATGTAGAGAATCTTTTCACAATGGAAAGATAGATGGAACCAAATACAGCACAGCGAAAATTGCAATCGACTTGATAACGAGGAACAGTTTCAAACGGTCAACAGCCATAAAGACTTATAAAGATATAATGGAATTGTATAAACTAAAGCATATAGTTTTAAAATGTAAAATTGTAAATACCACTGAGATGGCAATTTAGCTAAATACAAGCTAATGTCAAATTTTGCTTATAATTTATAAAAATTCTCACAATGGTAAGAAATTGTGCATAATTTGTGTTTTTCATAAGAAAATACAACGCATGATGTGGCTTTGCAATGTAAAAAAACATCCAGGTTTATGAAGTCCAACCACAATGCCGACTATTTTGTGTGGCTGTTTTTTTTTTTTTTTTTTTTACAAAAATAATTTTTTTAAAGCATTATTGAGAAGTATAAGTAATAATTCTTTTTTTCATTCTATGTTTATTAAATTCAAATGTAATATCAATCCATTCATCTTCTCCCACTAATTACACCAGGCTCATGGCTAAAATGTGATGTTTTATTTCCAATTTACAAGTAGGCTTTTATTGATGTTTAAATATTTCTTAGTAAATCCATCAACATCTAGTAGAAAATAAAAGGGATTCACCCACTTTCTAGATGATTAATGCATAAGATCAGTTTATACTCGCTACCTGCATCAAGCCTGATGGGAGTAAAACAGATATGACATCAGTTGATCAGCATCCCTCACACTATTGGCTGTGAAAGTCATGCTAAAGTCACGTGACTGTAAATGTAAGCAGGCAGCATGATGGTGAGTGGAGCGCACACGCCATCACCTGACCTCCGCCGCCACGCTGCTGCCCCGCCTTCTTGTGTTGTTGTTGTCTCCTCCACATTGTCTCCGGGACCAGCGCTCCCTGGACCCCATTTGTGGAGTCACCCCTTACCGTCAAAATGTCCTCGCTGCCGTTTCCTGCCTGTGAGGGGGCCTGTAGGAGCTGCGCTGCCCGCAGAGCGGGCCTGTGCTCGGCTCTCCATCAGCAGCGGCCCCCACCCCTGCTGTTGGCCGCCACCGCCGCCAGAGGGCTGTGCGAGGGGAGAAGGAACCTGGCGGCGGCTGCGATCGGAGGCAGGAAAATCACCCACCCCGGAAAAGCTATACTTGCAGGTGGATTATTAATTTCAAAGCAGTAGTTTGTTGTTTGTGTGTTGCACAGAGAACAGTAATCCCTAAAGCTATCCAAGCAGAAGTGGGTCAAAGAGCATCCTGCCAGCTGGGATGCTACAGCAGATGCATCACAGACCTTCATCCCTTCTTCTCCTGCATATCCCATTATTATACCCATATGAAATACTTTTACTTATACATTTACATAATGCATTTGAAGTTTGTCTAGCTCTGCATCTCTCTCTCAGGTGGAATAGCAGGAGCAATAGAGATCTGCATCACCTTCCCCACAGAGTATGTGAAAACCCAACTGCAGCTGGATGAGCGAGCCAATCCTCCACGTTACAGAGGAATTGGTAGGTCATGGGACTTAATGGGATGACCAAATGGTTTGGTATTAGTTTCTGTGCTCAGGGGCGGAGCTAGATGGGGGGCCAGAGGTGGCTATGGACCCCCTTAGCTAATCTGTGGCCACCCCTACCATTCTGTAATACAGATGGCAGCAGTAATACTCTCAAGGGGAAGGTTAAAACTTATTAAACATTTACATTTTTCATATATTAACAATTACTTCACAACTAAAGCACATCAAAATATTAACATTAAAGCTGATATATACAGAAAATAATGTCTGTTAGTCATCTATGTCTTATGTGAAATCAGATAAATAACTACTTTAATAAAAACTTAAACATCCACTTAATGAAGATATATTAGTACATGTAAATATTAATTTTATGCAACATAACTTTTGATAAAAGTAGGTAAGTTATGACAATGAAAAAGATTTTCAGCCTAGAAATTTTGTCCACTATAACTTTTTTGACAGCATGGATGTTTAAATAAATGCATCTATTTGTTAGCAAAGGCTGTAGGAAAGTTTAGTTTGTCTTTATTTAAAAAAATATGGATGTTCTCGTTCCTGTTGAAACGGTGTAGATTGACTGTGAGGTTCTGGTGCCTATCTGCTTTCGGCCACCCCTCAGTGTACATTGGTTTTTGACTGGCCACCACTATTAAAATTTTCT